GGCCACCAGCCTGTCTTTCTCCAGCATCAAGAACTCCTCATGTTGTTGCACTGCCTCAAAGTTTTCAAGGAGGAAGCTCCATGCTTTGGCGACAATTTCAGGGCAGCCATGGATCTCGCCAAACTCAAGGATTCCCAAGCAGTTTGTGGCATCTATCTGGTGCTGCAAATATCGACTGCATACAGTACGGATGGTGTGGAACTGGAGCTGGCTGGATGTGCAGATGAGTCCCTCAACATTGTTTTTATTGATGGTGAGTTTCCCCGTATAAGCAAAGTCCAACAAGGATGACAACACATTGGGATCTACATCATGAAACTCGACACGAGCAGCAATGCTCTCCACAAAATCTCCTGAGAGCATGGAACGGAAGTAGTGGCTGCAGAGTGCAAGGATTCCCCGGTGACAGGGGAAATCTTGTCCACCAGCGCTCAAGGTGACATCCACAAGTTTGGGTTGAGAACAGAGGGAGCGCAGGCCCTCTAAGATGCTCTGGGGATGGGAAGAGAGGCAGAAGTCTAGATCGTCTATATTACGCACCATGACGACACTTTGACCTATGGCCTTAATGCATTCAGGGCCAGCCAACAGATGTTTTCAGTGTTTACCTACATAGGACAAGACAAATGGGTATAATCAGTCACATGCAATCCGATTGCGACATTCATGATCATAGCAATGTGGAGCCTCTCATTTTCAGCCTTTCTGCTTGGTAACAGAACATTTCAGAAACAAATTGGAAGAGAATGAAGTCATGTTAGCACATCAATATCAGTCAAATTATCAGACGATTATCGCCGGAGTTAAAAACAGGTTCTTGCCAAAGACAACATATCTGCACACTGGGAGAGTATAATTCTGAGAATGAAATTTATTACCATTCAAGATTCATTTCTTTGCCTGAGAGAGAATTTGCACACAAAACACATCACTGGCAAAACAACAGTGGATGTTAAACAATTCTTTATAACACAACAAAACATGAACTGAACTTACCTGCTCGTGAATGAAAGCAGAAATCATACATTATTCACAGTTCTTGTTTAGAAGGCAGACTTTTCTGTTGCTGCTGTCTAAGATGGGGGACACTCTGTCTTTTGCAGAGTCACTAGGACAGCATGCTTGTCTTTCACACTGCTATTTTTAGGCCAGTCATTCTGGGGGGGGGGGGCTATACTCAGAATCTAAATAGTACTGTTAAGCTCCCACCTGCTCTTAAAGAGATACACACAACTTTCTGT